GTTGCCGGTACCCCCCCCCCCAGCCACGGGCAGCTGCAGCCAAAGCTGCCAGACAGACTCATGCTGCTCTGGCCAGCTCTGGGAGGAGGACCACGCTGGGGCGGGAGGGTCTAGACAGCCTGACCCTCTGTCCACTAGGCGGGTCAAGGGCAACACATTACAGCAGGAGCTGGGAACAGGATCGCCTGAGCCAATGTGCGGAAGGAAGCCCTTCTGGGGGACACAGACACACCGCCCGAGGTCGCTCAGGGATGTCCCGGCCCTGTCTGACCTGGTGGAGGCGGGCAGGGGCTCGACCCCGGCCTGCCCCTGCCTACCACGCAGGATAGGAGGCAGGTGGGGGAAAAAACTGCTGAGAGCCAGAGCACTTTGCTGGGCTGCCCACAGGACTACTGGGTCCGGGGAGCCCCAAACTGGTCTGACTGGGGCAAAGGCAGGCTACAGAAGGGCTCTGGGGCCCCCCACCCTAAGCCGTGCAGGGAGGAGGGCCAGAACCAGGAACTGTGCGGAAGTCCCTCGGCTCCCAGCCATGCCAGAAGCACTCCAGGCCAAATCCGGTCCCTCCCCTCTGGGAACAGCAAACAACTGTGGCCTCCCTCCTGCCCGTCATCTGGGGAAGCCTGTGGGCCTTCACTTCAGCCCGGTCATATCCCCAACTCTAGTACTGTCTCTGGGGTGAGGAGGGAAGGCTCCCAATCTGTCCCAGCCCTTCCGCTGCCCTCCATCCTGGCACTATGTCTGTCTCTCTGTGCAGGAGTTGGTGGGTGGATAGGCAGGGACTCTGCCGCCCTGGCGAGGCCGGGAGAGGGGCAGTCAGGAGGCGCCGGGACCGAGCCTGAGCCAGGACCGCACAGCGACGGGCGCGGGGCCGCCGGCCTTATCGATCCCGTCCCACATCCCACCTGCCTCCAGGCCCGCGGAGGTAGGGGTCCCGAAGGCCACCTGGGCTGCTTGGGTTCCGAGGTCCTCTCAAACTCAAACCCGAGCGTCACCCTCACCTTGCAGTCGTGCGAAACTGCTGGGGAAACTTGTGCCGAGAGAGCGCGTTGGGACACGCATAAGGCAGAGGCCAAGGTCGCCCCCGCTCGGACTGAATCCCAACAGCGCCCAGGCCTGGCCCGGCCCAGTCCGGCCCGGGCAGGGGTTGGAGACGAGTGAGAGTGGTGGTGGAGGTCAAGTTCCAGGCGAAACCGGCCCCGCCACGTGTTCGCGGCGGGCGGGAGATCCCCCA